GTAGGGTTTAGGGTTTAGGGTTTATGGGGTTTGGGGGTTTAGGGTTTAGGGGTTTGGGGGTTCAGGGTTTAGGGGTTTGGGGGTTTAGGGTTCAGGGTTTAGGGGTTTGGGGCTTTAGGGGCTTAGGGCTTAGGGTTTGGGGTTTAGGGGTTTAGGCCGTTTAGGGGTTTAGGGTTTAGGGCTTTAGTGGTTTAGGGTTTGGGGCTTTAGGGGTTTAGGGTTTAGGGCTTTAGGGGTTAAGGGGTTTAGGGCTTTAGGGGTTTAGGGTTTAGGGTGTTAGGGTTTAAGGGTTTAGGGTTTAGGGGGCAAGAGGCGGCAGGTTCTGCGGCCAAGGGCTTTCACCTGTCTATCCATGTGTCTAGTCTATATATATATATATATAGAGAGACATATAGACATAGAGAGAACGAGAGAGAGAGAGAGGAAACAAAACGAGTCTGTTTGTTGGTTCAGGGTTCCTTGCTCTTACAGGGTCCTATGTATGAAGGGTTAAGCTAAGATCAGGGTGACCTTGAGGCATCAGGGTTTAAGGTTTAGGCTTGCAGGGTCCGGCTGTTGGGAGAAAGTTTCCTAAAGGATCAGGGAGCTCCTGGTGCTGCAGGTGGTGCTTTTGCCGGTGGCTTCGGCCCGGCATGCACCAAAGACGATAGCCTGGGGTTTAGGGTTCAGGGTGAGACAAGGCATCGGCTGCCCCAACCATCAAACTCTGGAAGCCCCAAACCAGAAAACGCCGGAAGCCTTCAACCCCAACCAATAATCATTCAAAAATGGCTTATGCCACCACGCTTCTAGTTGGCCTTTCCCACCTTGAAAGCCCTTTCGACTACATCCTTTGACCCTTAAGCCCAAGCCCATGCCCTAAAAGTACTTGTCCAATGTTTCAGGGGGAGTTGAAGGTTAACCTTAACTGGTAGGATGAAAGCAGCAAAATCCCCAACAAGGTTAGAGGTTACTCGACGATAAGGAAACGATCAAAGAACACCCCCCTATAGATCCCATAAAACGATTGACAAAACATATTGAACCTGTAGAAATTAGAAATCCGCATTAAAATCAATAATGCCTGCAGGACTCCATGCAAAAGCCCCGCGCAAAACCGTATATACTTGTCGGTCAGGACCACCACCACCACCACCATCATCACCACCAAGACCAAGACCAAGACCAAGACCAAGACCAAGACCAAGACCAAGAACAAGGTACAAACACAAACTGCAGCCCCGTCAACCTATATCTCTGCTTTTTGTCTGAGATCTGTTTAAGTCCTCTTCCAGATACCACAAAACACTTAAAACCATCCGACAAATCATCAAAACCCGCCCAACTCCCGCCTTCAAAATCTCATTGGAACCCATCGAAATCCTACTAAAGCCATTCCACTGAAGCCCTCCAGCGTCACATGAAACCCTCAAAATCGTTTCTGAACCGTTCGATATTCAGCGAAAGCCTTGGAAATTGCTTCCCATATTGGTGGTGTAATGTGGGCGGTTGTTGTAGGGAGGGTCAAATAACAGAGCAGGCTCCAGTTTGTGTCTCTGCCTGGTAGAGAGACAAAATCCTGAATTCGACGGGGCCTTTGTCTCTACCTGCTGCTAGAGTGCTGCCAGAGACAAAGACTGGAGCCACGTCTGTTGTTCTGACCACCCCCGTTACAACAACCACCCAGCCCACACCGCATGTCTAGCATGGGGCAGATGCTGTGTAAACCATAATTGCATTCCCCAAAACTCTACGGCGCCCTATGCGCTCGCCAGGAGCATTCCCCATTGCTTCTAATTAACAATATCAGGCTGCTGTTTTGGTCTGTACCAACAACAGCAGCAGCAACGACTACCACCAACAACAACCACCACCGCCGCCACCACCCTCATCACAGCGGCAGCAGCAACAGCAACAGCAACGGCAACGGCAACGGCAACGGCAACGGCAACAGCAACAGCAACAGCAACAGCAACAGCAAGAACAGCAGCAACAGCAACAGCATCAACTATAGTTAAGCCTAACACCATACCCTAACCCTTGAACACTCAACACCCTGATACCCTAAACCCGAAATGCGCCTGTCTGGACTTCTTCAGCCTCGCCACCAGCGTCTCGTCGTTCCTTGCGAACTTGGCCTTCGATGGTGGCTGTTTTCCGCAGTTCGCAGGGTTCGAGGGTGCATAAGTATAAGGGTGTGTAAGAGTTCATAACAAGAACTTCCCTCAGGGTTTGTATGGGCTGATAAAGGGCTTCATAAAATTGTTTTACAAGGGTTTATAGGGGTTTACGAAGCCAAAAAGGGTTTGGCCATTCAGAGAAATTTAGCAGGATTTTGAGGCTTCGGGGCTTTGGGGTTTCATGGGCCATAGGTTCAGAAGGACGGAATGCGCAATCGGAAGCGGCTCTCGAGATAACGAGGCCTTGCTTTTACGGTTGAGGGTTTAGGGTTTATGAGTTTAAGCTTTATCGGTCTGTATCTCCAATGGAATCTACAAGAGCTTCGGTGATCTTTGAGAACTTGTTAAGGATGAATGCTGGAACCTGAACCTAGAAGGGGGTGCCATGCTGCAATCTCCCGCTCTCTGAGGGTCCCGTCTACCCCGATTTTTCCTCTGCCCGGCAACAGGTTTTGAGGTACCGAAAACCAGTAAGAGTAAAGTAGTTAACTCTTTGGGACCTAAAACGCATTTTTTTTAACTCGGAAACAAGTGGTGCAGCTGCTTGCAACAAAACACCGGGCCCAAACGTACAGCTTCGGGCTTTAGGGATAAATTAGGGCTGTAGGGTTCAGGGGCTTTTGGATATAGGATACAACCTGACAAGTGCATCTGAGACCCGAGACAAGATAAGTCCTGAAGGGATATTTCGAGCCTCCAGCTACGAAAGCTTTTTCGAAGAACACCTGGTTCAGACCAACCGCAAAGGCATCAGCAACCCTCATCACACAAAGCCTTAGACGGCCATCGATGTTGCAGCAGTGCGTTCCGCAGTTCCAATTTCAGAAGCTACTATGAACACTAAGCCCCAAAACCAAAACTCTGCTCATCTGCACATTTGTTGGTTTCTCAAATACCAAAGGCCCTGAATTGAGGGTTCTGGGGGATCTCCGAACCCTTATGGCTGATAGAGCCCCTACTCCAGCAACACTGAATTAAGAAACTCCTACATGCCCTAAGCCCTAAACCCTAAACCCTAACACCAAAACCCTAAAACCCTAAACCGTAAGCCCTAAAACCCAAAAGCCCTAAACCCTAAAACCCAAAAGCCCTAAACCCTAAAACCCTAAAGCCCTACGTCCCAAAACCCTAAAGCCTTAAACCCTCCTTCACTTAGTGGCTCCCTGCTGACTTTGCAGCCAGGAGACCTCTCGGCACGAAGTCACGAAGCGCACCAGGCCGCCTGCGGGCGTTAGGGGGTGCATCGGGGTTTAGAGGCTGTTATGGGGTTTAGAGTTTAGGGTTTAGGGCGTAGGGTTCAGGGTGTATCGGGGTTTAGAGGCCGTTATGGGGTTTAGGGTTTAGGGCGTAGGGTTCGGGGTTTATCGGGGTTTATAGGCATGGCGATGGGGTTTAGGGTCTATCGAGGTTTATAGGCTGTTATGGGGGCTTTGCGGGCTTCACAGGGATGTCCAGGGCATAGGGCCTTGTTCGAGCATTTGGCTTTACTGGGTTTGTAGAGGGTTCAATTGCATGATTTATAGGGTTTTAGAGGGCTCTATAGGGATGTACAAGGTTTGGCTTTGGGGTTTAGGTTTAGGGGTTGCAGCACTTCGCTTTTAAAGCTTGGGGTTTAGTATAAGAAAAAGGGTATTGGTGTGAGGGTTGAGGTTTAAGGGTGTAGGGCTGCTCTTGTAAAATTGCAAGCTTAGATAAGGCCTAAACCCTAAACCCTAAACCCTAAACCCTAAACCAAGGGCTTAGGGTATCGCTTTTGATTTTTGGGTTTAGGGTTTGGCTCCTGCGGTTTAGGTCTCCCAAGACTTTAATGTTTAGGGTCGTTGAAGGTGTGACCAGGGTGTTAGGGGGCTTAACATAGGGGCCTGAATAATTAACAATCTTATTTTGGGGGTTCCATATTATAATAGAGTATAATCTACCCGAAAACTCTCTTCTAATTATTAAGGCCCGTATATTAGGTGTAGGTTTCGGGGGGCTCTTAGGGGTGAAGGCGCTCTTCGGAGTTGATGGCTGAGCTCGTGAATTCGGCATTTTGGAGGGGCTCAGGGTTTGGGTTGCCACAAGGCTTAGACCTCTAGATGAGCTGAATAGTCAGTATCAGTATTATTACGAACAACTTGTTGTATTTCATCACTGGTATTAATATTTTGTGTCTTTCTGCTGAAGGTGCCCATCTGTGAGTGATGTACTGCACACTTTCAACCCGTCATGACTCCAAAGGCCCTAAACACTAAACCGTAAAGAGCCGTAAACCCTAAACCCGAAAGATCCCTTGGTTTCCGGTTGTAGGGTTTTTCAAAGCCTACTTGGGCTTGGTTCGGCGATAAAGCTCTGTCGAGAGCCGGAAATGGGTTTGATGGCCTTCTCTGGACTTCGGTTCCGGGCTTAGGGGTTTTGTGTAGAGCCCTCAATAATTAGAAAAGGGTTTAAGGCTCCTTTCTGGTAGAGTCCGGGAATAATATACTCTTACTACTTAGGCTTCTATTGCCTCAGGGATCTGAAATCCGTGACAGCATGATCCATGGAAGCATCAAGCAGGGCAGATGTTTGGAGCCCAACAGGTTATGTAGGGTTTAAGCTTTAGGGTTTAAGGNNGGTTTTAGGGTTTAGGGATTAGGGAGAAAGATTGAGTATGTGCAGCCTTTGGAGTCCTGATGGTAGGGGGTTTGGTGGGGATTCGGCTGGAAGTGGCAGTCCCGGCTGCCGCGAGCCGCTAGGCAGTCGTGTTCTGTGTGTTCTCTGTGCTTATTTCGATGTGGTTTCTATAAGACTTGCAGGGCAGATAGCACATCAGAATTTCAAGAAAATCTCAAGTAAACCGCAACTAGTAGGCTCCTTATGCTGTAAGGCCTTAGAATATAATTAGAACAGGGTTTCAGGGTTTTTGATACTATAATTATAATAAGGACCC